TGTTCGTTTATTAAGTTTAATAAACGATCTTGAAGAATATTTTTATTTTTGTTTATTAAACTAAACATGAACAGAGATTTGTTTGGCTCATTTATATTTATAAATAAGCTTGTTTAAAGTTCGTTTAAAATCCATTCATTTATTATTCGTTCATTGTTCGTTGCTATTCGTGTATAATAATACTAATAAAATTACATTTTTATCTTTTACCCTAATTCTATTTTAAGGTTCGTTTATATTTATTTGGGTTCATTTAAGATTTGTTTGTTTAAATTTATTTGATTATGGTTTATTTATTGTTCATGAATATATTTGTTTATATATGTTTGTAAACATGTTTATTAAATGTTCATGAACGATCTCATTTAACTTAATTGAATGAACACAAATTGAATATAAACAACCTATTACTTAAATGAATGAATATGAACGGATAGAACAATTTTCTTAGTGAATATGAATTGAACATAAATACCTCTAAAAATAAATGAACAAACCACAGATATATATATTCATTCATTCATATTCGATTCATTTACAACCCTAATTATTAATGAATAGACTTAATTTTTATATTAATTTTATTTATATTCTGAATAATTATGTTTGAACAAAAATAATTACTATATGACAAATGGACATAACTATTTGAATATAAATAGATGATTGTTCATATAAGTTATGATTATACAAATGGTTATAACCATTTGATAAAAATTTATGTTGATCATTCATTATAAATAGAGGAATAATTATCTTTAAGAAAATGTTCTTCGCAGTTTAAAGCCAAACTTCTTTTTTTATTATTTATATTTCCTTATTTGGGTTTTTTTAACAATCTAAAGGCAATTATATAAAATTCATATTTCGCATGAGGAAGATACAATAAAAAGAAATTAGCAAAATTGACTTTAGAAACATGTATAGAAAGTTTCAAATATCCAAATGGTTTATTTGTGAAATACATCTTAAAGATCAGATAAGTTCTTTGTTTTTATCTTTCTAGTTTTTATAGTATATTAAAAGAATTTATGTTAAGAATTCATAAGAGACCTTAAGTCTTATTGAATTTTGCTTTTATATTTAGTATATACTTTTGATCCTAAATTAAATTATTTAATTTATGATTCATGATTTTATAGTCTGTTTTATGTGGATTTTCTAAATCATGGCGTTGAATAGTCATAAGCCTAAAATGAACATGGAGTACTTGCTAACTTTGGTTATGAATCTTCAGTGGTCTTGTTATATTTTGATAAGATCATGATTAACAAATCAAAATAATAAAATACTCGTGAATTATTCTAAGGCATAAAAAAATTGTGAATTTATAAATTTTTTCAAAAAAGAAGCATGTATGTGTGTTCTTATCATAAAATCATATTTTATGGTCCATATTCCATGATTGCATTTTATTACCAAGAGAATAATGCATTATTCATAGTATCTAATTTATATAATATTGTTTCAACGATTATTTCTTATTGATTTTGTTTATGTTATACAAGAAATAAACATATTATTTAAGATAATTTCAATTCAGTTGGAGTATATTCTTTGTAACTAGTTAAAATGCTTTTTATTTGTTTGGTGAAAATTTTCTTGTATTTGATAATTTCAACACAAATTTTATATATAGTATTGTATTGTTATACGTGAAATTATGGTTGTTCTTAATGACATAAACCATGGTGGATATGGAAACTAGTGTCCATGATAAAATAATTTTATAAGTATCTATGAGTTGATATGAAAGTTTCAAAAAAAGACTATAGAAACATGAGTTTACTAAAATAAAATAATTTTAAGGGTGTTTATATTTGACATCATACTTATTGATATAAATTCTTACATTGAGTTAAAATATAAAATTTTTGAAACTTTTATGAAAAATAAATATTAAGATATAGAATATTTCCTTGTCATATTTCACTAAGGGTGGATTTGGAGGTCTCTTACTTAAAAAAAAAAATCACAAATTAGTGAAAAGATAAATAAAATGATAATTTGATTAAATATATATGATATCTTGATAATTGAATGAGACATTCTTTAATAAAATAATGCAAATTTGCACATAGTGAGGGTGAAAAAAATCAAAAGCAATAAAAATTATCACTATAGTGTTGTAAGATTTTAGTATAATTTTATAAGCATTTATACAAACTAATAAACAACTTATTAAAGTAAAATTATAAAAAGGTCTTTAAATATCTTAAAAAGATTAAAATGGCTTAGCTTATTCAATTGTATTGAAGTATAATTATATTAAAAATGTGTAAAAGTATAGAAATAGAATGGTTAAAATTTATGAATATAGAATTGTAGCTATGATTAATACCAATTATTTCTTAAAATGATAAGAATGAGGCAACAATGTCTAAAAGCATATAAATGATATGCAAATGAAAAGTTTGGATATATTAGCCCGATTAAATGATTATATTAGAGATTTAATCTCAAGTGAAACTAATTACCTTAAAAGCAATTGAATTCCAAGATATTTGATTAGTAATACATCAAGTAGAATCGGTTTAAACCCTTACTATTAGACACTAATAATGGAAACCAAACTTTAAATTAGTAACCTCTAATTATAAAGTTTAATAGGTAAAAACAAGTTATTATTATGTGTCTGTTAAACATTAGTAAAATCAATTCAAATTTTAGAAACTAGTGTGATCCATTGCATAGAGAAGATGAGTTTTTTATAATCTTAATGGAGTATATTAGTTAAATGTCTAAAGTAATTGAAACATCATAAAAACTTTACCTATATAAATATAGAAGTGGTACTGCTTCATTAAAAAGAATTAGAGTCTTTATTGTAAATGTTTATGAATAGAATAAACATATAGCCATAATAGTGCTAAAGAGGTTATAGACCTCTGACAAAAGTTTAAGTAAGTATTATGTATGTTATATCATCAATTTTAACACTAGGAGTTAAGATTTAATTTGCGAATATCATCAACTTCGTTAAAATTATAAGGTATATATGGTAATTAAAAGTTTAAATTAAGAGATATCTTATTATATTCATAATATTTATTTATGTGAAATGTTAAAAATTAAACACAAATGTTGCAAACTAAACCTGTTTAAAGGTCGAACTACTTACTCAAGCCTAAAGGCTTGCCCGAGTTTTGAGAAAGCTTAGACAAAAAATTAAAATCCGTTAAACAGGTTTGGGCACAATTTTTAGGCTTGGACAAAACATTTAAAAACTTGAACCTGACTTGTCAGCCTGAATTCACACATATATAAATTATTTATTTTTATATATATGTGAATTATATAAAAATTAATTCACATATATATAAAAATTAAAAATAAAAATGATATATATTTTATTAAACTTAATGTGTATTTTTACATAATTTTTATTTTTAATTTTCACATATATAATTTTTACTTTTTATTTATATATATATATATATATGAAAATTAAACATAATCTCATTAAACTTAATTTAATCACATTATTTTTTAAATTTTTATCATATAAATTAAGTTTAATGGATGGATTTGAAATTTATTTTTTTAATTTGGGTCAAGCTTGAAAAAATTTTGAGACTCGAAATTTTGGGTCGAGTTGAGCTTGGACAAGCATATAAATTATTAATATTAAACATTAGCTCAGCTTGACTTGACCCATGAATACTTCTATTCCAAACTAGTGAGAGATTGTTGATAATTTATAATGTGGTGCATTTCATATTAGATAGAAAGACTTATAAATTTAATTTTTGTATTAATTTTACTCATATTCTAAATAATTATATTTGAATATAAATAATTATTAAATGATAAATGATCATAACTATTTAAATATAAATAAATGATTGTTCATATAAATTATAATAATAAAATGGTCAAAACCATTTGAATAAAAATTTATTTGTTTATTCATTATAAATAGATTTTTTAGTATAATTATTTTTATTAATTTTGATTTTAAAAAGTTTGAGACTTTGTGATATCTTAAAGATATAATTATCTTTTAAAAAGTGTTCTTCACGTTTCAAAATTAATTTTTTTTTTTATTTTTTCTAACAAATTTATTTGTATCTAGATATAGATATCTTATATCATAAAATATACATATCTTATTAATACTATAAATATCTTATAAAAAAACAAACAAATTAAAATTAAGATTTTAATATTACAATGAGATGTACATTTATTTATAACTATAATCTAAATGAAAATATTTTGTTTTTTAGTATAATAGTGATAACTTTCATTACGAAAATATCTTTTCTAGACTCCATATTTGGACAGGACGTCCACCCACCTGACTTGGCTGCCATATCCTACCTTTCTCCTTCATTACAAATTTTCACATTGTTTTTTTAATGACTAATTTTTATATCTATAAGGGTTCAAAATTTAAGAAAAATTTATAAATGTTGGGCTTGAATTTTAATTTATTAAAAATGAGAAATAAATAATTTAGATTAAATCCTGAATTTTAAATGACTCATTTCTTCTTTGAATTTTATGTCATCCCATTTCTCTATTTCGGATGATGTGATTTACATAATAATAATAATAATAATAATAATAATAATAATTATAAAATTATTAACGAAATTAAAAAATAAAACTATTGTTTTAGGAAAAAAAAATTTTGCTTTAAATAAATTTTATATATAAAAAATGGGTGTTGGCATGTAGATTTTTTTTTTTTTATGATTCAAAGTCAGCCGTTAGCTTAATCCTTGTTCTCTCTCGTGCGTTAAGTTGAAGCAACGGGCTATAACTCATATTGTCACATTTGTTAAGAAAACATAAAATATTCATAAAAAATCACCTCCTGCATCAGCAAAACGATGAACATTCAAGTAAAAATATATGAAGAATCGTTCACTCGCTTCTGGTATATTTTCTCTGCTCCTCTTTCTCGCGTGAATAGAAAGAAAAACAATTAGATGGATCAAGTCATTTCGTCGTTACAGTCCTATCTAGATTTTCTCCACCAGGAAGAACAAGCAATGGCCTTTATGGGTCACTACTACAGAACTTTAGTCGTGAACCTGGCCGGTCTAGGCAATTTCTATGATGGAGGCTCCATGTTGACCTTCGAAGGTCAAAAGATCCAAGGCTCTCAGAACATAATGGCTAAGCTCACCAGCCTTCCTTTCCAGCAGTGCCAGCACAACATTGCCACTGTCGATTGCCGGCCTTCCGCCGGCGGTGGCATGTTTGTCTCAGTTAGTGGTACACTTCAAATCGCCGGCATGCTATGAATTTCAGCCAGGTAACTCGTGTTTTTGCATTTTCTCTTTTTGGTTTTTTAGGGCATTTCTAGGGTTTTGACGTGTCACCGTCGATTAGTGGTTTAATTAGTTATGGATCTTTAAAGTTAGCTTTTGAAGTTGGTGTCTTGATGGAATCAAATGGTTTCTCATCCACAATGCTTTGGTTATGATATTTTGACATCATTTGTTATCGACTTTTTACTAGCCAAGGTTTCTCTTGTCATGCCTTTTGCTTTCAGATGTTTCATTTGATGCCAAAACAGCAGGGGAAGCTTCTATATATTGAACGACATATTCAGGTTGAACTAAGCATGAAGACGCAATCAGCACCGATTAATCAAGGATGTAAATAGATTTTTCAAGGATTTAAGCAAGTTTGCTTATCTCTTCAGTTTTACGCATTTTAAATGAAAGATGGAAAACTTTTTGGGTTGATTAAGTGTCGCATTTCAGACTTCTTTGTTGTTTCCTACGCACCAAGAGTTCATTTTAAATCAATACATCAGCCAATGTTTTGCCTTTATGATAAGTTCCCAGAATTCCAGTGGTTCCTTCATGTTTTAAGTAACCAAAGCATACATTTCACAGAAATTCCATCTTGCAAAATAGATGAAATGCAGGTGGTGTTTGACAAAACCTTAAGCCTTTCATGGACTTCGCCGACAGTTCTTCCATCCTTCTTTTTACGCCAACTATGACCATCTTTACAAAAGAAACGAACAACCCTCTTGTTGAAAAGAAACAAAGATATAATTCCAGTTTAGCTCAATTGATATAAAAAGAAACAAATTTATGTTCAAATGATTCCCAATTTAGTTAAATCCCTAAACCAGATTTAATCCAACATAAACAGTAAAGATATAAAGTCAAAAACAAAAATATAATTTTTACCTGATTGCGCCTTATTCCATTTCGGTAAGAAATTAAAAAAAAAAAAAAAGAACTGTAGAGGAAAAATATACGATTGTGGCCATTTGATCCGGAGATGTGTACTGGACCGAGGAGAAAACGAAGCTGAAGCCAAAGTCTGGCCGTAATAGGAATAACCAGGGCCGGAATAAGGTAGGAATTATTGGGGAATGGATAAGTTAATCCTACACTGGATCACACCTGAACCAGGTTAAGTCTAAGACTCTTTAACAGTAAGTCATGCGGAAAGAGATTGGAATTTGACTTCAAAAGTCAAAATTTCTCGGCTATTGTATGGCTGGGGCTTATATTGTGGTGGAATCACAATCACTCGAACCACGAAGGTGCGCTGAAATCTGCTGCTGCCCATATAAAGTGATGAGTTAGGTGTGTTCCTGACGCGGCAAGGTTTGACTGGTTATTGTAAATAGTAGGCCGTTTACGTATGATCCCGCTGGACACAAGATTCTTTTGTGGCTTAGCTAGCAGGAATGAGGTCCGCTGAAAAGATTCTCAGATGTCTAAAGGCTACTCATGCTCGTATACTTTGGGTCACCATAGACAGAGTCCAAAATTGTAGTAATTCATCGGCAACCTACGAGGGACATAACATACTTTCCAGTTTTGACAGCGGTCAGAGAGGCAGGCCCCAAAAATTTCCAATGGTGTTAGACGTTAGGTGGTCATGGAGAATCTATTTTTATCTGTAAAGGTAGGGATGAAAAGGTCGTTCGGTTTGGGCAATGCATTAACAATTAGTATAGGAGTAGGAAGTGGCCTGCACGTAGCCTAGATTCATTCATGTTATCCACTTACAACACACTACATACTACAATCAAAACTTAACAAGGATGTCTCTAACTTACCGTACTCGATCCGTTTCTAGATGAAATAATAGTTCCTTCTGCTCCAGTTTTTGTCTTCAACAACTACTGAAATGATAGGATTGCCTTAATTATTGTGGAAGTTTCTTGGTGTCTGCCTCGTGGGAGTTGCTGATGTTCAATGAAGGAAGAGCTGGAATGAAGTTAGGTGAGATTGTTTGGCCTCCATAATTCTGGGTGCCTTAGATTTTAAGTGCTTTTGGAAATTTGGATTTCAAAGGTGTAACCTTTTCCTTTCTTTGACATGGGGTTACCACTTTGTATTGGCCCTGCCTATTAGTGTCTGTAATCTAGTCTGGGCTGAATCTAAACTCAATGCAACTCCATCTTTAAATCTTTCTCGCCTTTCTCTCTTTTTTTGGGGGGGGTATTGGAAGATCCTTTTCTCCCAGCAGAGGGTTCAAGTCCAAGCCCCCAATGGCCTGACAGGCTCACAATAAGTGGTTCAGATCAACCTGTCTCGTTCCGACTAAAACCAATGTTCAAAAGCTTTCGAGTTAGAACTCGATCAATTCTCTTTGGACTAATGGATATTGAAACAAGAAATTTCAGAATCCAAAGTATCTAGTTTATACTCTACTTTGATCTTGGCTTTCCACAATATGCCTTCGGACAGCACCGTTTGATATACTTAGGGTTCATGTAGATTAGATTAACTCAGCAGACGCGGTAAGATTAAAAATTGTAGTGATGAGATTAAATTAGATAGAGAAAATATGTATTTTGATACAAATGCAACAGTGAGGAATTTTCATTTTTATTCTAAGATAGCCGACTACTCAAGAATCCAGACATCCAGTTGCTCCCCTCCAATCTGTAACTGAAAGGTAACAAGGGGCCATTGCACCGCGGAAAGCTACAGAAATGTAGCCGATGCAGTTAACCCAAAAACGATGCGGTGCAGTAGAATCCAAGCTAACCCTTAATAAGTATGAATCCTTGAAAAAGTGTTGTTATAGACATATAGTGGAGAGTGTAGTCAAGTCAATGAAAGAACATAGTGGTACATTTTCTCCACCTTGTCAAAGTCTTACCTGCTTAAAGTAAGCTGGCAGAAAACGACTGAATTCTTTCATGGAACAGTATAACATCAACTTAAAACAATGCCCCTTACATGATATTAATTAGTTGTCATGTGCTCATGTTTCCAGTTGACTACATAACCAAGTTGATTTTGCCTTTCAAATCAAGTCCAAAGATAGTACTTCCATTTCAATAATCCAGTCCATACGTTTCACTTGAATATACCAAAGTACCAAACGATTAACAATGAGTATTTGTTTTAATTTACATTGAATAATACGTAGTCGAGGATTGGCAGATCAAAGGGATAAGGAGGAGAACATACATGGACCCCAAGAAAATGAAAAACTGGCTCCACTTCTCGCGTGCATTATATGGTGAGAAAATGAATTTGAAATCAAAAGGGAGCTGGCAGAGGGGACCAACTTTTGCGACTTGGTCTTGTTATGACCAACGAGCAATCCAAGTCTGATCTTCACCTCTTTCTTTTTAAGTGTTCTCCTATGAAATTAACAGCATCAAAAGGTTCCATTTTACTTTTTCTGAAACAGTTGGAGATTGTTGATTTACTCGAATCATTGCCAACTGATATCACAAAAATTAAAGTTTTATACTTAATTAAACTAGTATTTGGAATTTTAGATATACCACCATAATACGTTTGTGTAAGCATTGAAAGCAAGTTATTCTGGTGCCAGTTGTCAAGTGCAGCTACAACAGTACATAAAAATGGGACGGCGGCAGTGAATCCAAATGACTTCATCTCCTAACCTTCGCCCCACACTACTCTCCACACTCTCTCTTTATCTGCCCCCCCCCCCCCCCCGAGTTTTTTCTTTGCTTATATACTGACTCTCAAGACGCCATTAATCAGCTCCACCAGTCACTTCCCCTGCATCTCACCCAAGTTGTCAGAGACCTTGTTGTAGGAGAAACAATGTTGAATTGGGGTCCTGTTTTTGTGGCAATGGTGCTGTTCGTGCTGCTAACACCAGGGCTGCTGTTTCAGCTGCCAGGCAACCAGAGGTGCTTGGAGTTTGGCAACTTTAAGACAAGTGGTCCTTCGATTCTGGTCCATTCCCTGCTGTATTTTGGGCTCATTTGTGTCTTCTTTATTGCCATTAAGGTTCACTTATATCTCGGTTGATGATAAATGTTGTCATGTATAATTTGATTAAGGATGTTGTGGACTATTATCTTATTCCATGCCAATTGTAATTTCGTTATGATTGCTTGTTTCATGTTCTAATGTTGAGTCATGAGCTTAATGCGTGGAAATTTTAAGCTCTTTTATATTGTTGTTTCTGTTGTGTCTGAATTGCCAAGTATTTTGTTTTCAATTGAAAAAAAATTGCTTCTTTGTGCAGTTATCAAGCTAGACTTAACTTTTTGCCTGATGGACTGACCAGAAAGGTGAATTCAGTTCACAACTTCAGATCATATGCTGCAATAAATGACTTGGAACCGCAACCATTTTGTCTACAATCCACATAAAATAGTGTCTGAAATATATATACTCAAGTAACCTCAATCCAGGTTTCAGCTAGATCTGAAGCAATAATGACGGAGATTCAAGCAAGCAATGCTGGTGTAACTTCCCCCAATACAGCGATGTGGCCAATTTCATGAAAAGGATATCTTCAGTCAGAGAGTTTGGAATATTTACTCTGGACTGGTTCCTTTAATGTGGTTCATGACCGCATGTAACTGAGAATAGTTTGATTTCACGACTAGCAAATAATTAAGAATAGGCAATGAACAAAAGAGAGATGCTCTCTTTGGTGGGGTGTCTCCCAATTCCCTCTTTTCTACAATGCTGCAAGCAATACAACTTTTCTTCAGTTTTTCTTTCCCTAGAAGAATGGAATACTAGATTATGCCTTGATTATATGGCTTACAGTTACTACCAAGAGGGAACTCCTTGTATCCCATTGGCCATGCGACTCTGCTAGCTTTCAAAGTGTAAAAGAATCAATTTTTAGCCATTTTATCAATTCAAGGAATAAAGTGGCCTCTTGTAGTTCATGTAAATGCTCCCCAAGGAATAAACAGATTTGACTACATTGGCATATTCTTCTTCAATATATTCTTCAAGATATTTTTTACCCTGAATTTCCTGCTTGCAACTTGTGTCAGCCGATGCTGTAAATCTTTTTATCAAAAGAATCTACATGCTTGTCAAAAGGAAAGAAGGAAGAATTTTGCTTTACTAGCATTCGAATGCCAATGTTGTAATTTAGTTTTAAAAAAAAAAGTGACAACAATCAAATCCAATTCAGCCGTGAAATGTTAGAAAATGATTAAGACACACCATATAGACAGGCCTTGATATAATGCACCAACTGCCTTTGATGTAGGCTGCTGCTAGATTTGATTGGGCTTAATTAATCAACATTATGTTAGGCACTAGTCAGAATCCACTTCTTAAGACCAAAGTTTCAAATTAATATCTCAAATCATTCCACTTTACATCTAATGATTTATGCTACTAATAACTATATATAAAAATCTGGCCTAGAATCGGCATTTTCCAGGCTCCCTAACATTGCGTGAGCTTTACAATTTTTTTATTTTTTTTTATTTTGTAACGTATAATGTTGAATCGATACCATGTTCAAGCTTGTCTTCTAGGTTAAGCCTCATGTTATTATCGTGATAATGAAAATTGTACTTTTTTCTAAGCCAAAAAACCCTTGAATTATTTGTTGGCAAAATCCAAGTGTTATATATAAGGAAGAAAAGAATTGTTGTATGCAGTTGCTGGCAATTTCAGATCAGACCTCAAAACTTTGAAATTGAAATCACGTGACATATTGCTTGCAATTTGGATTTCTTGCATCTTCTGGAAAAGAGAAGGAAAATCGCAAACTCAATCTCGGTTCTTATTAATAAAGGGGTTTTATATTCGCAAAGACAGACTATCACACAGTCGTTAGAAAGTAACGGACGACCATAATGCTGCCACGTAGCCATTGCACTGGCATCTGTCGAGAACCCACGATGTCGACGTGCATGTATATTTTGCTGCCCTTTCGCCTTTGCCTTCGCCTTAACCCTGATTCTTTGCTCTTCACATAAACTCCTCGTCTGCTCCGAAACTGATCATATTAATTCCTTGCTTTCTTTTTTCAACGACAACTCACGGTTCCATCTTTTCAGAGCTTCATCAACTATATAAGTTTCCTTGTTTTTGATTTTCTTTCCTTCCTCATCAATCAAGAGTAAAGAAAAAGCTTGGATGGCTGATTGGGGACCGGTGGTGATAGCAGTGGTGCTTTTTGTGCTGTTAAGTCCAGGGTTGGTGTTTCAGTTGCCAGGGAGGAGCAGAGTCGTGGAGTTTGGGAACATGCAAACGAGTGGGATTTCGATTCTTGTCCATGCCATAATCTTCTTCGGACTTATCACCATCTTCCTCATCACCATAGGCGTTCACATCCACACTGGATAGCCACCTACTTTTAGAACTCGACCTTCTCACTTCTCCATTTGGTTCTTTTTATTATTGCTATTATTATAGTATCAAAATCTCGTGATTTGTATTTCGTTTCAGGATCTGGTCCTTTTTTGCGTTATTGTTTATCCTTCTTATTAGTTAATGTACTCCTCCCGGAGAAAGTGATGGCTTGCTTTTGTTGGTTGTTAATTTTGATCTGTTACTCTCAATGCGCTTTGTAATGCAATTGCAGTTGTAGAAATGATTGGACAAATAGCAAGATGGAGCTTGTCGTGTTTTGACTCCGTCTCTGCCTTCGGCAAGATATCCGATTGCCTATGCTCTTGCCCCACTAACTGCCCATCAGAACTTTGTTTTCACTGTGTTAAGCTGAGTTGAGTTGATCAATCACTGACAGCTTCGGTGATCAAACAAAACATCAAAGAAGAAGACAGTTGGCTTATGTTGGAATGGCTCTGACATTAATAGAACTAAATATAACTTGAACAAGGTTGAGGGCAAGTCGTGGAAGCCTGGAGCAGCAAAGCCCTCTTTAATAGACACCTGTCTCTTATGTGTCAAATTACCATTTTTCAAGAAATTAACTGCTTATCCATTACAAATTGAATATAGAAAAGAAAGGGAAACAACCCTCCCAATTCTTTTCGCAAATAAGAATACACTCCACATGATCTGTTAAATCCTTGGATAAGTCACTACTTCTACTAGACAAAGAAGCCATACCCACATATTTCAATAACATTTGAAGAGTTTCAACCACATTTCCAGTATTAATGCTCGAAGAAACCTGGTAAATTCATTATTGTCCCTGTATGTAGCAACAGGCAGCAGCACTTGACAGGCAGCACCACTTGCAATAACTCAAGTGCTGCTCGATTCTCCATCGCGCTATCAAACAGTGTCTGAACCACCTTTTCTCTTCACAAAAGTTTCCATGCTGCAATGTCGAATCATTTTGAAAAGAGCACATCAGCAATCTCGTAATTGTTACGCATATTTAATTGATTGAAGAAAAAGGGAAAAAATAAACAAAAAAGCAGTCTGTTCAACTACGGACGACCATGTTTCATTTCATGCAAACAAGGATAAAATTAGCTGCCCAAACAAAAATCTGTTGTTTCTTCACAAGCATTTGAAAACTTGTTGTACCATGCAAAACATAACTGATGACAAATGAATACTGAAGAGCAGAGATGTCAGATACAACATATTAAATTATTTACTGCAAAAAAGGTCAACAATATGAAATCATGAACCTACTAGAACCTTAACAATTCAGCCTCAAGATCAATTTATCTCTTGAGTTAGATCCAATTCTCAAACAAAAAGTCAAACTGAGACAGTCTGTTTCAAAACAGATTCATATTATTCAACCTCAAGATCAATTTATCTCTTGAGTTAGATCCAAATCTCAAATAAAAAGTCAAACTGAGCCAGTCTGTTTCAAAACTTCACGCAAATTTGATCAACCGAAAACCGTTTAGACAAGTCACTACTTATTATTGACTTATTGGCTTATTCCTCCACTTGTAAAAGAAACCCATCAATCAGCAATTTGTCATATCTTTTACTTGCTAAACCCATAATATCAATGATTGCGCTTCATTACATTTCTAACCAACAAAGTACAGAAAAAAAAAGGAGATTTTCTAAAAGAAAACTTAATGTGAACCAATTTAATTCATTCTTACACATACTTTGACTCTTAACAAAGTTTTTCAGTATCATAGGAAGAACAAATTCACCATTTGATTGCATAAAAGGTTCACAAGAAGCATGCACCAAAGATCAATGGATAAAGTTAAATAAAGATCGGACAAACTGGAAAGCATATTTTGCTGAAGAGTAAACAAACAACATATTTGAAAGTGTTTCTAAATATTCCACATATAACATACAGAAGAATAGTCAGGTCTTAAGGGAGCTTCCAAAATCCTGTCAATCATGATATTTCAGCCAATAAAAGGTTTAGTTACCTGTTGTTATAAGGATTAAAAAAAAAACAACCACCTGAAAGAGAGTAGTGATTAAGCCTGTCTCCTAGTTTCTTAATTGCCACGGGTAATCTGCAAATTTCCTTTTCCTATGATTGATGCTCACCTCTCAAAATAAAGTTCATCATTACTTTAGTAACAGCAACGACCCTCCATTCTAAAATATCCGATGCTAAATTTTAGCAGAACAGGTGAACAAGCATTTAGCTAAGACTGATAGATCACATGTATTGCCAAAAAATGCAGGAAATGAAACAGATGAGATTTAGTTCCTGTGACCCAAAGAGATAACATGGGGAAATATGAGATTGAGTTCACAATAATCTATTTAGTAATCTAAAACAAACGATATTCACTTTTTTTTTTGCATCTTTTATTCATTCAATCAACTACCAATCATGAAAGAAACCCTCAATCTCCAAACCTACCAACCAAAGAGATGAAAATAAGGAGGGGCGGAGGAACAGCCCAAAGCAGACAATCAGAGAATAAAACGAAACAAAATTATCTCAAAGATGAAAGCTCCGAATCAAGAAATCAAAAGGTAAAAAGTCTAACATAAGACAAAATTAAATGTAAAAGACAACACCAACCCGTGTATACAGCATCGACTAATTTTTTTAAAAGGATTTTTAAGAAGAATTAATAAAAAAAATTACCGGGAATATCCTTTGGCGGCGAAGGAGGGGCCATGGCGTAACAAAGAATAGAACGACCTAACATGGAAACCGTGGAAACAATCCCGGCAACGTAAAAAACCATGACCAAACCAAGAACCCAAGGCATCAACATGAACCCTATGAAAAAAGTTACAGATCCGCACAGTATCAAGGAAACCGATATCCCTAGCATCAGCCAAGCGAATCCCGCCGGCGTTATCGTTGTCTTTGTCGATGTCACTGGGGGATGAGTCCTCCTCGCCGGCGCCCGTGATTGGTCTTCGAAAGGCATCGGCGTCGGCGGATATCGTAGAAGATTCAGAACCAGCGCCGACAGCTCGTAGAAAACCCTTGACTGCTGATCCCGGTGTCGGTGATTTTGCTGTTGCCTTCCCATCATTTTTTTTCTGAGACAAAATCCTATGGAAATTGGAAAATGAAAATTTCTAAACCCTCTAATCTGAAGAAAAATTAAACAGATTTCAGATACTAAGAAGTATTTTTTTCCTTTTCTTTTTTATTTTTTTCTAAAAATGAGGCAACTGGATAGACCCAGGGACAGATATCTAAACAGCTGTTTGATTGGAGAAAAATTAACAACCGGAGAGTTCTGATAGGCAAGCTTTGTTTGTTTCTCAGGAACTCCAGAGGGAAACCGTACAAGAAAGTGACGCGACGGTTTTACAAGTAACAACAATGATTAAAAAAACTTATTTCCAAATTCTTACACTTCTAAATTAATTTCCCATTTACCAGTGATTTTCCCCATATCATCATTATACCATATTTGTTCTACTTTCTAATAAAAAAAGAAAAGCAATTGAAAGACGCAAATTTATTGATGTGAATGAAAACCACCAAGCATGTTGAACGTGTGCGTAGAGAATCCAATTGATGTGGGAACGATTTGGTTTCAAAGTTCCAGCAAATTCCTTCAAGCCTTCACCAAGAATGGTGTTGGGTGCACCCACAATCTCAACTGCAATTGATTGTTTGAGCCATTGCTTCCGTCTTGAATTATCATTTTTTTTTTCAATTTTTTGTGCTTTATTCTATTAAAAATTATATATCTTTTCAGCTATCGGTTCTGAAATGTTTTATAAATATATCTCAAAATTTTCTCATAATCATTCATGGTATCTCATTTGAGTTTTCTTTTTTTTTTTTTTTGGTAAAAAATTTGAGCTCATTATTATGCATTTAGTCCAAATCTAATTTTAAGTTTGTTATCTCAGAGAGATGAAGTGTTACTTTTTGATGCCAATCTTTCAAATCCTTGTGATGAAATCATGATATACTAAAAAACAAAATTTTTTAATTGGCATAAGAGAATTGGATCATAAATTCAGAACCAACAAATGGGTTTGATCATAGTTCTTTTTTCTTTTGTGGGTTAAAATCTTAGGTATTTTCATTGAATCTATGTGACTAATGTCATATCACATTAGTATTGTTTACTTTAATGTTTAATAATTAATTGGTAATTAGATAATTTTAAAAAATATAATTGGTAGCTAGATTATTGTTTATGCATGTACTTATGAGGTGGGTTGACAGTTACACACGTCATCTAAACAAAACCGAAAATAAAGAAAACCATTGGATGACACGAGATGAACGAGACATGAGTGAAAAAGAAGCATGGCGTTGGCAAGTGGCAACAATCATCAATCATAGAGTAATCTTGCTTGCTACCAATAATATATTGATGCAAATTGATGATATGAAAATAGCACGTCTTCAAGATTTCATTGGCTGCTTAGGTTGTGATAGTCATGTTAACATATATATATATATATATATATATAAATATATGAACGTGAAAGCCATAATATTCAGCTATGTAATCTCTGTAGTATCCATTTGATATTCATTGCTTACTTTTTTTTTTTTTATTTAAATTTCATTTGTTGGTGATGTTTTTAGATTTGCAGTAAAAAAACTTGATACGGAGGAGTCGAACTTGGTTTTTTTATATGCATTTAATATTACAGTCAATGAGATATTTAAGATTTAGAGCGAGAAAAAAAAAAGATGAAATGTATTTAGAAAACTACGATGAAAGAGAAATGCTCAAGTTTTATATATTTGGACTTCTTCTTTTATCTTATATATAACATGAAAAATGATAACTTGATTGAAATGGTTAATAATTAATGATAAATTTTTGTGAAATTCAAAAAAAATTTATGTAGATGATTGTGAATTATATTTAATAATTTTAGATAAATATAAATTGTATTTAATAATTTTAAATAAATTAAAAATTAAAAATTAAATTTTAAAATGATATCTTGATGAATCGATAATTAAAATGTCAATGAGTTTTTGAAGAGGGTTAACCAATTCTATAACGAGGTGATGTGGCAGTTGAATGTACACTAACTCAGCTGGATATACACTGATTAAACATCCAAAATGCTTGACCTTCTTGGCCGAACAAATAGAATCCAATTCATTGGAGGATACTTTTAGCTGGATCCTTTCCTGAGTTTCAATATTGTAGATTTTTATGACAAGTTGACTTTCGTCATGTTAGGTTGTTGTTGGGTTAAGCTATCGTAGATAGCGGATGGAGCCATGGATGAATCACGGCGGAGTAGGAGGACGGTAAAATATAAATTTTGCAGGCTACAGGTCTGTATTGTGTTTGAAGAGGAAAAAAGGAAAAAAAAAAATTATAGGACGTGTTACTTGCATACTTGGGACAGCATTATACGTAATAAAAATACTGTCATGTGAATAATTTAATGATGATTTTTTCAGTTTGAATTGACATATCATAATTCAAAAAATATAAAATTAAATTTATTTTGAGATTCGTGTTTTACGGAGATTATTTGTTGAAATTATTTTAAATATAAAATTTAAAATTATTTGTTTTAAATTATCAGGTACGATATATTTTATTTTGATTGAACAATTTATTTACTTCGAATTTTTTTTATAAAAAAATGTTGTTCAAATTATTATATACAAATTAAATTCTAATTTTTAGATAAATAGATAGATCATTCCCCATAATTTGACTTTAAAAAAAAATCTTAAATGTATAAGTCATTTTTTATACCTATAACAAGCCTTATCCGATATTGATTTAAACAAAAATTGGTTAGTAAAGTTCTCTTTCAATTTGTTTGAAAAGTATTTGTATTTTAGTCAGAAAAAGAATTTCATAAAAGGAAATAAAAAGGTTAATTTGTCTGAAAGGTATTTACAATAACAAAATTTTACATATTCATGTACTCACATGAATTATTTATTATTCTAAGCAATGTTAAGTGCTAATTAAAATGATATTCAATAAAAAAAATAAAGTGATCCATTTTTTTTTTTAATTTGATGAAAATAATAGTTCATTAAATATATTTTTTAAAAATATCAATTAATTTATTGCATCACACGTCAATGATTTTTGTATAGTATTTCGTTTTATATACAAAACTTTTAACTTTCCATTTTTAAATGAACAATCATTTAAAAATGTTTCATGTTAAAATATGATAAAATTTGTCACCATAATCTATGTCAATGTCCATATATAACAAAAGATGGGAGGAGCACCGACAAGATATATTTTATTAAATTTTCAATAACAATAGATGAAATTTTAGAATTTAAAATATTTTTAAAATATTGTAGAGTCAAAATTAAATTTTAAAAATTATAAAAACAACAAATACTTGATGTATTTTACTCAAGTATCGGATCCTATTATTTTTTATGTCCTTTATATTGGCGGAACTATCAATTGTGGGATAAAAATAGTACATTTATGCTTTACGCATGTGTAGGTTAATTGAAGCGGTGAGTTGTAAATTTTAAGGTCCACTTGAAAAGAGAGCAACCCAGTTAATTTATACTTTACTAAACAATTTTTTTTTTTTTTTAATTTGATGAGCGAAACCCTTTACCAGACATTAATGTGTCATGGATTAACCAATATTTCAGTAATACTTTACTGAACATTTTTTTAATATTTTACTAAACACGAGTAGTCGAACATGTGTAATAATCCTAATATATCAGTAACCTCTTCATGTTTACGTTTCTTCCTTATTTATGGATGGCACTAGGTCGATCGAAATGAATTTTTATTTATTTCGAATTTGATTTAATTATATATATAATTCTTGAATTCAATCTGATTTGATTTAAAATTTTATTTTTCATATCCGAATCAAATCTAACATTACATAAATAATACTTGATATGATTCGAAATCAATAAGATATTATTTTTAAATAAAAATATTGTTTTTTAATATTAATATAAAATTAAATAAATATAAAATCAAATTTACTTAAAATCCGATCTCAATTTTTTTTTTTACCACTCGATCCGATCAGATCAATTATCTAATTTAAAAAATAAAAAATTAACTCTACAAAATCGAATCTAATCAAAATTCATGGATTTGAATCAAATTACCTTCCCTATCCCTGTTTCCCCACGTCTAAACTCTTACGGGTTCCAAAGATTGTCGAGGGTGTGGAGGAGCAAACAAAAATACATCTGATCTTGTCCTATTAGTGGTAGCATGTTTCATTGCACCGGTTCCAACTATTTAGTTTTAACTACATTAATAAACAGTCGAATTTGAGTATCATTCATCACAAAGTAAGAAGAAAAACCAGAGAGAGAGAGAGAGAGACATGGGATTGGAAAGGGAAGAAGAATCTAATAATGGACTCACCCTGACAACACAGGTTTAGCCGCACAAGTGACGGACATGTGAGCAAAGTCTTAGAAAGAAACATCTTTGAGAGGTTCCCAGAGACTTACTACAAACGACAGCCGGTTGGCAATGCGCAGGAGGATAGGGGAAAGAAATACTTCAGAATAAAACAAGCTTATTTACGGTGTGACCTAATAATCTCTGCATGCTTTTAGTTGGTTACCTGGTGCGTGGTGGCTGGTGCTTAAAAGGTGACACAGGGCTGAGTGGCAGTCGCTCCACCCCCACCGCACCGCACCGTTTGACCAAGCACATAAAAATAGGCTAACTAACCTATTACTGTCTTATCGAAGCAGACTAAGGGTTTGCAGCTGGGATAGATGACCCAAATGTTTGGGATCGTTGAACCCTATCACCACTTCATTCTTGTCTTCATTCTTGTCCATTGCTGCAATCTGTAAGTCACAACATCATCCCAATACTTGTTGAGTTATTCTTTGTATTTTTTTTTCTTTATCTAAATATTTGTTTGTTTGTTTTAGTGACAATTATGTTGAGTAAACACAGAGATTAGCTCTGAAAAATCTTCTACCTCTGTTTCTAAAAGTTCATTTTCTGCTTTCAGCAACTTTTCCTGCGTCAAAGAGGAATAGTCATGGATTAGAATAAACCAAGGCTTTACTTTATGCTGTCAACACACACGCACAAACAAATATAATGGCACTGTTAACATAACCAAAAGTAACTAATTATGCTACGCTCTGTCTTGCTATTACGTTTGGGCTTGTATTTTCTCTAGTTTAGGGTTATTTTCTTCTTAATTTTTCATCTTCCTCCTTGCCTTTAATCCAATTCAGTTCTGTTCCTCTCTCGATATCTTTACTTCTGTTTTGACCATCCCTAGTGGAACAAAATATGTTTAATTGAAGAAGGCTGAATGTATAATATATTAGGCAGAGCAACTACTTTTAGCCATGTATTATTACAACACCAATTCAGTGATATTTCTAGAGAACTAGGAGTAAAAGGGGAAGCTTATGGTTAAATAATTTGGTTGGTTGAGAACCGAAAAAGAGCAGTGGCATTTGACATTCAGAATTAGTTCTAGATAGCTTAGAGATTAGTCTTGCAAAAAACTGGAAAATTAACGGTTCAGCCAAAAAATTTTGGATTCAACCTATAAGAGAACTTCTGGGTTGCATAAGTTGACAGCTTCAGGTCTGCCGGTTTAAGAGGTCTGAAGTCCCATATTGAGGATTTTGAAAATTGTTAACCTTAAGAGCATGCAAGCAATGTTTAATGGGAAAGTTTCAGTGAAATCAGGAATCAAGGAAAGAGACCCGTTGCAAACAACAATTTTGCTGTGTTCAAATATGATCAAGCCTAAGGGACATGGTAGATAGAGGGACAAGGGAGAGATTGTTCATGTTTTTGGGACCGTTTCAGAGGTGTAAGAATCCAAGTTATGATTTAAGTTCAATTGATAAAGAAAGGATTATGAACCTATCAAAATGAAGTCCAGAGAACGGTGACCTAGACATCAATAGCCTGAAAATTTTCTAGTTGGGTGATTGTAAACAGCTATATTAGTACAGCAAAATATCTACACTTTTGACAACATTATAAAATAACAAAAACCAGCACGGCCAAGAGGTTAATAGCTAAATTCTGACTATAACCACAACGGTTGCATACCTTTTCTTGGAGGGTCATTATGGACTCCATCATCAACTGTGTCTGCAGAAAAATTCGATCAGGTAAGAATCTTAATAAACATGACAGATAGGACAACTCTCCATATCACTAGCATTCTTGTCCAGCAAAATCAGGAAAAACAAAAGATTTCACATTTGATGTGCACAGCACAAATTGTAGACAAAGTCACTTAAAATTCTTTAGTAGAAGAATTCTCAAATGCATCAGAATGATGGTAGGTCTTAAGTAATAACTCTTCGGATTTATCCATTCCCTCTCTTAGGCAGAAGGAAGCCCATCCTGTAAAAGAAACAAACTAACTTTGGGCGGTTAGTGGATTCTTTGGCTGGCAATCATCTTTTAGATGCTCTTGACATTCCCACTTGCTTAAATTTTAGAATCTGAGTTCCATCTGCTAGATCATAATAGTGAAAGAGGATTCTAGCAATTGGTGAGCAAAAGAATTCAATGCAAAATACTTTCATTGTTTCAAACCTGGAGTAAAGGTGGTTGAGCATCTGTCAATATTTATGGATGGATTTCAATAAACAACATGTTGTTTTTGTTTTAAAAGAAAAAGTTTGAAATTCAGAGAATGCAAGTATCACCAGTAAAATTTCACTTACAGGAGCTGCTAAACCATGCAAAAAAAAAAAAAAAAAAGAAGAAAGAAAGAAAAAAAGAACTGAAATAGAAAGTAGATTTGCAGGTAGTTGAGCTCTGAACACTAACAATGGAGCATTTCATATCCAGGCGGGCAGCTCAATAAATATGGAGAAACAAATATATAGTTGATCTTCTCTATGATTCAACTATATTGTACATACTCAAATGAAAGCTAGCAATGTTTTTTTTAAGAGGGTGCTAGGGAAAATGTACACTAATATAAGAAAAGTGGCAAATGCTTAGTTGAGGTTTTGCAAGAGATTTCCAACTGTAGCTAAAACAAAAGAACAGGTGTCTTGGAACAAAATAAGTAGTTTGCACAAGATATTTTCCCAGATGTGCAAGATTTTCCTCAATATGGGAGACTGACCTTTCTAGCTCTTGTTTCCAAAAGTGCAGTATCAAGTTGTTTCTCCATTACGCTCAGCTGCTCAACAGTCGGTTCTTCCAGTTGGCTGTCAACACATACTGATATGTCAAACAACTTGTAGGACACCTTTTAGCGAACTGATAAGGAATAAGAGAAGTCACCTTTGAACTATATGCAGTAGCTCTGTATAAGAACGGAGCTGTAGAAAAAAAATTGACGGCTGTTTAGCAAATATTGATGAAAAATACCACATAGAACACTCCTAGAAGCCTATAGCAATATAATATGGTGAAACTGCTCATTAGCTTGATAACTTATAATAAAAGCCTCTAACATTAGAAAACTTCAGTTTACTCATTAACTGGATGCCAAATAGGCAGTTAAATAATTCCATTATATGAGATTAGCAGAATCATGTTAAAAGCATATGGAGAACATGACTACTCATAAAGATACTAGAACGCAAAGTACAAGCAGCATTGATGTAGTTAGAGAACAAATTCGCTTAACAGAAACCCAATCTCTAGGCTTAAACATATATACTTGTTTAGAATATCAACCTGGATGAAGCTCACATTATCAATGAGCACGAGCATATTAGTTAAATGACAGTGAAGCAAACTCGGGTTGATTGCTCATCACTGTCAAGTGTCAAGGATGTCTAAGCAACTGATCTATCTATGATCCTATAATCAACAGACAACAGCATAAGTTCCTATGGATGGCTGAACCAATTATAATTTAGCACTTAGCACAACTGAAAATTACATTAGTTTGCACAACCTCATATTCTCATGCAAGTTTATATGAAAGCAATTATTGAACAACAGTTGGGCCAAAATTTGTCACACATTTCAAACACTTTGTGGATTCACAAGGGATCTATATCCATTAGAACCTCATCTGAAATCAGCTTTGAAGCGAAAAGCTCCTAGATAAAGATGGGTTTTCCATTAGTGATGTTCAGGTACACAATTCGTGTGCAAGTAGTATGCAGAATCTTAATTGCACAAGTAGGAGCAATTTAGTTGATAAATTGTTAAATCATTTGAATTACCTCATTTAAAACAGATGTTTCTCAACGTGTGGTTAACAGCATTAAGCTCAAAATAGAAGGGAGAAGGATCACTTACTGCTTCATTAACATTTTTTGAAGCCTCGGATTCCAGTTCACAGTGTCTATGATAGCGTTCAAGAATCCTGGCCAAACTGGTAAAAAGTGTGATAGCATCAGTCATTATAACAATTACTGGATCAAAGCTACTTGGTATTTACATGAAACAAGTTTTCATGGAAAAGTTGCACAAGTTGTGAACATTATAGATAAAGATTGGCTACCTTTTATAAACAATGCTATGAACATTATATATAAAAATTAGCTACCTTTTACAAACAATGCTACAATAGATTTCAACTTCAGGAGTTGTATGAGGCAACCTTATAAAACAGGTTTCAACATTTATGTCTATGTTCAGAGGGGACTATTCATACATTGACATTTGTGACAGAAAAAAAGGGGACAATTAGGCAAAATAAACTAAGGTCTAAAGAAGAGTAAAGGCAGTACTTGGAACAATGGAAGAAGTTTTAGGAATAAATTACTTAAAACAAGTGAACTCACAAAGCACAAATCAACAAACAAGTAAAAACAAAAGACCAAGGATAGGAACCAGAATATATAGTTGCTAGCATCATATCTTTAGAAAGTTCCTTCACATCAGAGTCCTCTTTCACTCTATGCAAAGAAAAACTCTATTATGGTGCATATCAGTCTCTCCATCCTCAACATTGTATAGCCCTAATAGATTTAGGCACCAATAAGATTCCACAAGCCTAAACCCGAAACTTACCACCAGAACTCATCTATTTAAAACAACTCTTCAAACCTATAACGTACAGAATAAAAATGTCCACATTTCCACCCCAAAATAAGGAACAAAAAGAAAGAAAACTGGAAGAATGGAAGTGAATATTAGCCTTCTTTCAGACCTAATTTTGTGACAGATTTATTAATTAACAGTAGGGTTCCACAACCACCCCCTCGTTCCCCCATCTTCTTGAACAAGCAACCTTAAACAACATAGTGTAGGTATCACCCACTGCCATAGATTTGGTGTGCTTTTTCTCTTTTCTTTTCTTTTCTATGTACTGGATTTCGAAAGAACAACGTCAACTCTTAGTTGTTTCCTCAAGAATTACGTACCATACACCACATTATTGTAACATTTGTTAATGCTAATTAACTTGCTGCTATTTTATCAACAAAAAGACTGCAATCGTGCCATCATTTATGCTATTTCTCAATGTTAAGAACATGTTAGACTTCCTCCACAAAGAGAGAGAGAGAGAGAGAGAGAGAGAGAGAGAGAGAGGCACAAATAAACTATTTAAAGGTTCTAGGTTAGGCTTTGATTACTCCACCAATAATAGAACCTCATCCGCATCAAGTAATCTAAGCATCTGAAAATGAAGTAATTTATCCACTCAACTACAAGAAACCAATGTGGGAATCCCTATTTGACGATAGAAGAGGACCAACCAACCAAGCTAGACAAATCTTGCATTGATAATTCACACCAAACCAAACATCAGCTTGTAGATCACTTATTGAGCAGATATCGCTTAAGAAATTCACCAAGCAAAGGTCCAAATGTACCAGTTTGGACTGGATTATAAGTCCCCTGTTGCGTTACTTTTCATTCTATAAGGGGTTCCAATGCACTCTCATGCACAACTCAACTTTCGAAATGAGATTCCCATCATTTTCCTTTTAGAATATCTCATAAAAGTATATGACAATCAAAGTAAAGAGTGATCAGTGTCAAGCCCTAAACCATCACCTTATAATAACCCTAAATGGCAAGACAAAAAAGAATAAAGAGTTATTAGATTTAGTATGTCCATTTTTTTTTTTTTTAAATCTAGAAAATGTTACGTTGTATGACATTTAAATACTATCAATTTTGCAGATCAAGCAATATACATTTTTTTGTTGGTTCCTATTGTGGAAATCTAATTTTCATTATAGTTTGATTAGTTGACTTTGTCTACTTTAGTTAAGTCTCTTATTTTTAGAATAAAGAGTGATTTGGGTAATTACACCAAATCTATTAATTATTTTCCTATTATGTGTGGAGAGTAAATCTTCCCTTTGATTAGCTGTTGTTTTTGTTTTTTTTATGCATGAAAATCTTAGTTTTTCTAGGCTAAGAATATTCAATCTTTACCCTATATATTTTTTCATGCAATTCTAGCATTGTAATAAAAAAAAATAGAAGAATAAAAGAGTTTTATTCCAAAAATTTCATGGTATTAGAGCATGATTTGAACCTTTGAAATTTTGCACATTTGGAGTCTAGCATGGCTAGCAAAAGTGAGCTTGGCATCGGATGTTATCTCAAACCCCAGAGCTATGGTCATTAGCAACCCCAAAGTATCTAAAGGATCAGTCCTTTAAATTACAGGGCACAAACTCAACAAACAAACTATATTCAATGGTCCCAGTCTGTTATGATGTTCATGTGTGGAAAGGCAAGGAAAATTATCTTACTGGAGCAGTTGCACCTTCAGAAGAGAATGGTGCGAGGTTCAAAAGCTGGAAGTTGGAGAATAGTATGATGATGCCATGGTTAATCAAATTTTATGACCAACTAGATTGGAGAAAATTTAATGTACTACAAAACAGTCAAAGAGATTTGGGATGCAGCAAAGGAAACATACTCCAATGTTGACAACATTTCAGAAATTTTGAAATCAAGAGCATTCTTCATGATCTTTGACAAGGTGTAACAGAATACTTCAACCTTCTGATCCGACATTGGCAGCAACTTGATATTCTCAAAGAGGTGTTATGTAAGTGCCCGATGACGGAAAGCAGTACAAGAAGTTGGTTGAGAAGGATCTAGTCTACAAGTTTCTACTTAGTTTTGACAAGAACCTTGATGCAGTCCAAGGAAGAATCCTTAGCACCAAGCCTTTGCTGAGTATTCGAGAAGCATTTTCAGAAGTTTGTAAGAAAGCCAAAAAAAGGTAATGATTGGAACACAAACAGCTACTCCAATCCCTAAAAATTCAGCCCTAGCTGTCTAAAGATCCCAGTTGAACAGCAGGGATAGGCAAAAGAAAGGCAAACTTTGGTTTGACCACTATCAGAAAATTGGACACACGAAAGAAAAATGTTGGAAGATCCATGGGAAACCAACCAACTGGAAACCTTTGCGATCTTCATAAGACAGAGAAAGCCATTGCAACTTAGCTACTACTGAAAATTCTGCCTCAGCCAAACCAAATTCTTTTAGCAATGAACAACTGGAGTTTTTCCAAATGATTTTTCAACAATCACTATAGAACATTATCACTCCTATTGAAACATGTTCTTTAGTACTAAAAAATAATTCTCTAAATGCCTTAAAAGTGTAAACTAGAGAAATCAATTTCATGGATTGTAGATTCAGGAGCTTCAGACCATATGACTAAGGATGCATCAGTATTTAGTTAATACTACCCATGTCATGAAAACTTCACAGTTTGAATTGTTGATGAATCATTTTCAAAAGTGATAGGTACAGATTCTGTTATTATTTCCAAAGATATAACACTTGATTTTGTTCAGTTGGTCCCAAATTTAAGTTGTAAGCTATTGTCTATAAGTAAACTTACAAGAGACCTTAAGTGTATTACTAAATTTCTCCCTAATGTGTGTGAATTTCAGGATTTGGACTCGAGTAAAATGATTGGCAATGCTAGGATGTGTGCAAGACTTTATATACTAAAAGCTAATAAATCTAAAAGACAATATCAGAAGATCACTTGTGTGGCTTCATCCTTCAATAGTAATAAGGATAGTGCTATCATGTTGTGGCACTATCGGTTAGGTCATTCAAATTTTTGTACCTCAAAAGGTTGTTTCTCCATTATTTAATAAAAATTCAAACGACTTTTGGTGTGAAGTTTGCCAACTATCCAAACATACCCATACCACATATCCTAATCATCCCATCCTTTTTCAATGATACATAATGACATTTGGAATCCTTCCAGAATAAATAACATTATTGGCTATTTGTCACATTTATTAATGATCACACCAAGGTTACTTGGGTGTTCTTTATTAAGGAAAAATTAAAAGTGGGCTAGCTAATCCTAAACTTAATATGATCCAAACTCAATTCAAAAACCAAAATCCAAGTATTGAGCACCGACAATGTGAGAATATTACAATTCAATCCATGGATCATATATAATGAAGCATGACATAGTTCATCAAAGCTCGTGGGTTGATAATCCTTAGCAAAATGACGTTGCTGAAAGAAAAAATTGACATTTATTGGAAGTTGCAAGATCCTCCATGATGGCTGCCCATGTATCTTAGCATTTTTGGGATGAAGTTGTTCTTACCGCTACATACAATATGAACAGAATGCCTTCTCGAGTTTTGAAATTTTAAAGCCCTTGTCAATTCCTTCTCGATTCTTATCCTCACCTTCGAATCATCTTGTCTATTCTCATTAAAGTGTTTGGATGCACTGCATTTATTCTTACCAGGCAACAAAACCAAAGCAAATTAGATCCCAAATCCATCAAATGCATATTTCTCTGATACTTCTCGAATAAGAAAGGTTACAAGTGCTACTCACTAGTAATAAAGAAATTCTACCATTCCATGAATGTTACTTTCTTTGAAAATCAACCTTACTTTTCCAAAACTGTCATTCAAGGAACAAGAATATCAGTTTTGAGAAGATCCAATTATTGCACCACCAAACACTTCTCAAAATCTCTTTCACATCCAAAACATTCAACCAAATCCTCCAAGCCTTAAGTCCAAACAAGGGAAAACAAACAAAGAATTGATTATCTGTTCAAGAAGACATAAAAGTCATAAAGATCTAGGAGAATTTATACCTTCAAAGCAAAACCAAGAATCTGAACTGATTCTGGAGATGTTTGAAACTCACACAAGTAACACCCTTATTGAATCTGATTCTATTGAACCTCTTGATGCTCTTGATCAACTGATTGCTCTAAGAAAAGGTGTGAGTTCCTGTACTCAACACCCGATATGTAATGTGGTTTCTTATAAAGGTTTATCACCCAATTATCGGCTTTTGTTACCACACTAACAATATGAAGATTCCCAATAATATTCATGAAGCACTCATGCAACCAAAGTGAAAGATGGTTGTTTTGGAAGAAATTAGGGCCCTAGA